AAGCGGCTGCGTGGGGCTTGGTTGCCAGCTGGGGTTAAACCACGACAGGCTCCATGGAGAGAACAGTTTTAAGATCACAAAACTAAAAATGCATCAAAATATTTCTGCACCAGACCTCAAATCAGGGTCACTTACACACCCTTAGTGCTACCATTTCTTAGCTTTTGCAGAGGTTACTTGGCAGCCTCAATAGTTAACATTCAGATGCAAGACTTGGGAGAAAGTCAAGCCAAGTCAACGCAAACCTTAGCTTGAGGAGGAAGAGATCTTGCAGATCTTCCCACCACAGGCTGAGGTCTCCATCCACTGGAGAAAATTAATTGGGAGTGGGTTTATGGGCACTGCTTATTAAACAGGACCTTCAGATTAATTATTAACCTCAAGATAAACCAGACTTAAAGTCTGAAAGTAGCTGTAGCTGTAGCTTTAGGCATTTAAAGCTCTGAAGTGGACTTACCTTATCATTTCTTTCACATAGAAACTTTAACCTTTGAGCTCGCTTGTGCATAAATACTCCATCCAAATGTCCCGTCTCCACTGACCGGATTTCAATAGCTTTCTCTCCCCAGCCCATTATTTGATTGGAATGAATGTAGGCTGTCAAAAGGAAGCGTTTGGTAGGTGTTACAGCGTGTGTTGAGCTAAATACTACGCAGCGGGCAGAAAAGCTCTCATCAGCTGTTACTCAAAGCTTACGTAGATCAATGGCAGAGCTCTGACTGCCAGAGGCAGAGGGATAACAGAATCATAGAATCACAGAATCTTTGGAAGGGGCCTTTACAGGCCATCTAGTCCAACCCCCTGCAGTGAGCAGGGACATCTTCAACTCCATCAGGTTGCTCAGAGTCCCGTCCAACCTGACCTGGGATGTCTCCAGGGATGGGGCATCGACCACCTCTCTGGGCAACCTGGGCCAGGGTTTCACCACCCTCGCTGTGAAAAATTTCTTCCTTTAGCCTCTACATAGTAATTCTCATCCAGAAATTGCTGAGTAATTTAAACAGAAAAAGTATCACTTCTTCCCACTTCTGTGGGTGAGGAGCCGAGCAGTGCCTTGCCGCCATGGGGCATGGAGCCGAGCAACAGCAGAGCAACCAAGTGCTCCCAGCTCTGCACTCAGCCCCTCTTATACTCAACACAGTATCTCACCAGTCCAACAGCTCATATTATCTTATACTTAAGATGAACTAGAGCTCAAATCTTCAAGAAGTCACTTGCTCTTATTGCACAGGACCAACGAGTAGAAATTTAGCAACTGCATCTCTTATCTGGCTGAGAGAAATCTCCTTTGATAAACAAAAGCCCAAATGACTCCATCTCAGCATCCTCGACTCATCTTACTTGTCATTTGTATTTTATGAGGTGAAGAGGAAGGGTTGACCTACCCACAGAAGTAGGCATTTCTCCCCACTGGAGCACCACATCTTTAGTTATCCGTCCATAGGTGTTCACATATACGCCTTCATCCTCATAGCACACGAGCATCTCCATCCCGTCTGTTTTAGGCAGGATGACAATGGCGTGAGGAGTAATATTGCCCTGAATCTGCAGTTAAAATAAACCCTAAAAGTCAGAATTACATTGAATGGAGGAAGGGGTAGGGGGAAGGGAACAGAGCCTTAGAGAAACAAAACCCCAAACCAACCCAAGAATAAAACCCTCCCTCGATTCAACAAACAGGCTTTCAGAGATAAGCTCAAAGGGGAATAAACTGTCATGTTGTCATGTTTACTCTACCATCAAAGCTGTCTGATACGTCAAGGATAAACAGGTTCGTCAATTATAGAGAGATCACAACATATACGTGCCCAAGACTGATGGCTGACACTTGACTGTAACACAAGTAAGTGACTGCTGCCTGATGAATCCATCTCCTACTCAAATTAAGGCAAATAAACCCAGAATTTTACAGGTAGCCCTAGGGAGGAAATATTCCCCTTTTTTTAGCAATCAGTCTCTAGCTCCGAGGGCAGCTATGGTGACTTTCCACCCATGTCTGCCCTTCCATAGCTAAGACAACAAAACCACCTCAAGCTGCCCCAGTATTTCTCCCTAAGCTTCTTGCCAGCTCTTGCAGAGGAGGCTCTGCTGCTCAGATCAGATGCAGCAGTTCCTGCATTTGATTAGTGACTCAGTTTCTCCTAGACCAGTTTCTCATGCTGCTTGGGCCAAAAGCATGCATAGAGCTTAAGGGAGCCACAAGAAAATCCTCACCTACCCTATTTTTTGTAGCACTGCTTCTCTCTTGAAACAGCTAATGGACCTGAGAGAGGTCCTGTGACAGGTCCCTGCTGTCAGGGGGTTTGGGAGTTTTGAGCAGCAGGCTTACTGAGATTTGGGCTGCCCTAATCCTGCAACCCTCACCTGGGCAACTGCACTGCCTCAGCAGGGACAAGTAAGTGTTGGTGAGCACACCTGGGACACCACGCAATGGGACAGCGCGCTGGGCATCCAGCTTTTGGTGGGTCTGTGTCGCCCAAGAACAAAGAACTTGGTTTCATGGTATCTTGCGCTACAGAGAGCTCCATTACCGCTCCATGCAGTGTATGGACAGATTCTCCTTTCTGTGGGACATGGTAACCTTAAACCTGACTGCTCGGGCATGAGGACAGGAATAGCTTGTGCGAATAATGAATATGAAGTATGTGATACCTCTGAGTCTTCCTTAAGTGAGTATCAATGAAGATGGCACCAGAGAATGTCATACCCATGGTCAGGTGGTCACCATTTCTGAGCCACCAAGGGCCCGTCCAGACCTTGCCAGTGACCTGCGTTAGTCACGCAGCAGCACTCCCCCGTGTACTCACGTGAGATGGTATGTAGATATCGTAAGAGTTCCCAGAATCTACATCAATCACATGGAAACCAGTGTGTGATCCAAAGATAACCTTGAGTCTCTGACCCTCTTCTACAGTGAGATCCACAAGCAACGGCTTGTGCTGGAGATCTGCAAAAGACTTTCATAATCCCTTCAGTGAGCATCACAGAAAACCAACAAATCCCCACAGCAGAAGCCTGATCTGGTTTTGAAATCATATTTGTTTGACTGTGTTTCCTACTAAATATGTGGTTATTTATATTCCTGTCTCTCTGTTCCTATGTCAGATGCCTCAGCGGGAATTACCCACTCGCTCCAGCCACCCCAGCAGATAAGTGCTCACCCTTGCCAAGCACAGCTCCTTTTCCCCAGGAGCCCAAGGCCAGCCTGAGGACTTGGTCTCTAGAGAAGGTGACAGCTCAGTTTTACACGAGCGTGCGTACAGGCAGCGTGCAGGGACCCCCGCAGCGGTGCTGCTCAGGCTAACAAGATCAAAATCTGCAAGAGAGCTGTGAGCACCCACTCCCCTCTCGGCAGGGATCACCGCTCTGGTTTGGGCAGCTAAAATGAGTCAGATTAGCAAAGACCGACTTATCCCTGTTCAATTTAACCTGCTGGATGCAGGCTGGGACCAGCTCCCTGGCAGGGACGGATCCAGGACAGAGCATCTCTCCATGGCTTAGGTCCTCAGCAGGAGGGTGAAACATTCCCAGGGAGAGAAAAGGGCTCCCGGCTCCCTGTGCAAGGACCACTCTGACTCCTGACAGGGAAAATCAGGGGGTGGTATTTCCCACCGTCCCGACAGATCCCTGCCTACACAGCAAGGCAAGGATGCTCAGCCTGCCCAGACGGGAGAAGCAGCACAAGGAGCACCAACCGGCATCCTCACCAGAGCCGGCGGAGACTGGATCCCAGGCTGAGCTCTCCATGTCACTGAGCCCATTTATTCTGGCTTTTGCTCAGAAAAAGCAAATGTGACCTAATACTGAATAAGCCCATTTGTTCTGGAAGGATGCAAAATGAGATTACTCAGCATGAATGTCTCCAGAAGGCATTGCCCCTTGTGACTTGTCTCTGCACAGAGCTTAGGATGGAAAGTTCTTTAAAGTACTAAGTACAAAATACCCGCTGGCAGGTTATAGAGGAGAAAGGTCTCACTTCCTCAGGAGGAAACTGAGGTAGATGAAAAAGGAGAGAGAAAGAGAAGGAAAGAGTGGGTCCTTCTCCTGGATTTTCTGTCTTGAAACAGAATCCACACTGCAGAAGGGGAGAGGACCTTGCAAAATAAAAATGGAAAATAATGCCAACCTGTTTTCATACTCTACATGAAAAATTAGTCAGAACTTACTTAAAATAAACCCCTGAAACAGCCCCCCGCAAAACCCCAACTCGATTTTACTCATGGACATTTGGTCAGCTTTCTGCAAACTTCCCAAGGAAAGCCTGCCAGCAGAAGCTAATACTAATGCTTAACTGCTAGCCGTAAGCAGAACGTATCCCATCTCTTCAGCCAGAATGTATCCCATCTCCCATGGCTGCCAGGCATCCTGCTATGTAAGCAAGACGCTTTTTTGCTCTGAATAATACAGAAATCTCACGTATTTACAATTACAGAGTGTATTTTGGTTAAAAGATTAACATACCTTAAATGCCATAAACTTGTGATATGGTTTAGGAGCCCAAGCGTAGATCTCTACAGCATTCTTTAAGGCAATCACCAAAAACTTGATTCTTTCATATTTCACTAAAATAAAAATAAAACCAGTATAAAAATAATTCATTTTCTTTCCAACAAGACTGAACAACTCATCTCCAGGAACAGCTTCTCAGGCTACCTCTCTGTTGGTTCTCATTTGGCAAAGTGTCCACCTAATACATATAGATGAACACCAAATTTCTTTGCGGCTGTGGTCTACCCATACTTTTAAGAGAAATTGCCAGGTCAGACCTAGGATTAGAGAACAAAAATGCATTCCTCCAGACAGCTTTTTCCAGAGAGGTCACTCACCAACTTTGTAGTGGATGCATCCCTCCAGGTCCCCGACGGTGATCCAGCCCTGCTTCTTCTCCACTTCAGGGTCGTTGTGTAAAATCCTGTTCCTCAGCCAGGAGAGATAGTACACGCGCAGCTTGTTCTTCTTTCCTGTTGGCAAAAGAAACTTCCCTTCAGAGCAGCGCATGTGGGCAGGGGAAATCTTAAGATTTCAGTAATTATTTTCACTCACAAGGTGATAAATTCGAAGCTCATTTCACAATGAAACTGAAAATAGTAATTCAGTTGTTGTGGTGGGTTTTTTTTTCTCTTGGGAAAAAGGGTATGGAAAGCAGAGCCCAGACCTCTGCCTCCCTGACTGCAGGCGGATGCTGGAAATGTTCCTCCTCCTATAAATCAGTGTCCACGGAAAGACAGTTGGGCACAGCGGGGCCGTGACCCCAGCTCTCTTTCCGCTCCGCTACCTGGTTTCCTTCCCTCTCTTCTCCTTCGTACAACATTAATTCCACCCTGGAGCCGAGACACGAGCTCTCAGGCTGCGACACGCGCCGCTATTTGCCGACAAGCCCGGTGCTGGGCTCTGCAATACTGAGGGGCTGCCAAATTTCTGCGTGTCTCTTGGATGGCTGCTCCCTGCTGCTGCAAAGCCCCCGCCACAGGGACAGCCCCCCACAGCTCGCACTGGGGCTGGTGGGAGAGTACCCAAACCATAAACCCGGGGCTCTATCCATTCATCTCCCAGCCCTTCCTGCAGCTGTATCCCCCAAACCACAGGGGAGCTGCAGAGATGGCGATGATGAAGCAGCAGTTTTGAAGAGCCCTGTCTGAATGGAGGGAGCAGGAATCTGCCGGGGAATGCAGAGCGAGCCCAGGGGGGTGCTGAACAACACGAAAGTGAACAGAAGGACCATATCAAGCGATTTTCCTAACAGGCATTTCTCTTGCTGTCCTCCGTGAGCTTTGCAGGGTGGGTATCGGCAGGAGGCTCTGCCCCAGCTCCGCCACCCGTATGCTTCACGGGGATGCTCTGCAGGGAGGGTGCTGGGTGCTCTCCAGGGACACTGGACTACAGGGTTTTCGCTTTTTTGACAGAAATCACCCCACGAGTCTGATCTCAGAGCTCTGCGGCTCCTGGCTGAACCCAGGGACAGCAACAAGCCCGTGGCCCTCGCGATGCTTGGGGCACCAAGCACAGGCATGGTCTGAGCTGAGGCCCTGAAACCATAGTTCATGGCTCCCTTGGCTAGTGCCAGAGAAACCCAAAAGCAGAGCTCGCTGTCCCCTCGAGCCGTGACTCCTCGCCCTGCTGGGGTACCTGCCTGTACCCTGCACCCTCTCCTCCCAGCTAAAGGAGGATGGAGCCTTGCAGATGAAGCGGAGCTGGCAGGCGAGGGGAGCAAATCGCTCTCCGAGACATTCTTGCAGATCTAACGCCTTTGATTCTGGAATAAACCACCTCCAGCCTCCCCTGGGAGCCTCCCTCTAACGGCGGTGGGCAGGTTTTGTCTGAACTGGAACCGCTCGAGAACACGGCCAAGGTTAAGGATGGGGTGAGAGCACGAGAGACATACCTGATATTGTCACGAGGACGTTAAGACCTTCGAGTACGTCCATCTGTTGAAATCGTCGTCTGTTGATCAGGTTGTAGACCTTCCCCTGTCCGCTTCGATCCAGCAGCATCAGGCCATTTTCTGTGCCCACCAGCAGATTGACACCTGAAGCAGAGAGCGCCATGGGCACCGGGAGCCATGGCTGCTCCCAAGGACAACAGCCCCAGCTCGCCTCTGCTACCGCCGAGAGACTGATCCCAGCTAAGGCTGTGATCTTCCCATGAACATGAAGGGTCACTCTTACAGCGCAGGGACTCGGCGACATTAGCCTCGCCCGGGACGGAGAAGGGGACAACCAAAGGCTTGGTTCTGCCATGGCACATCCACGTTTCATTGCCAGCCACACGCTCTGAAGAGCTTTGCTGAGGGCACGGTGTGAGAAGGGGCTTACCCCATAAAGCAGCACAGAGTATCTCCGAGTTGAAGCGCTTCTTGTATTTCCGGATCTCCGGGGTGTCGCTGTGGGGACGGATGTTGGTGGGATTGACGTTCACCACCGAGATCTTCCGGGCTTCGTTCAGCTTGGCCTGCTCCTGTCTGAGCAGCTCGCTGGTGAACAGGGCTTGCAAGGAAACACAACAAAACAGCAAAGTGTGATGGATTTATTGTATGTACCTCTTCTGTCAGGGTGTTTTTTGGAATAGGAAGACAATACTTGGTTCATTTTCTGATGTCACCACTATGTTAGGAACTATTAGTTTGAAGAGGGCTCTTCAGGATTTCCTCATGGGTTGGAACCACCACCAAACCCGTCAGCAGGCGATGTCCCCAAACCTCAGTGCTGCCTACAAAGCTGACCCGTGCTATTTGATCCACTCAGCAACTGCCAGCTTTTTGGAGCGATTACCACCTCCTAGTTCTGCCAGGAACATTTCTCCTGGCTGCCCAGGCAGATGAGTGGGTGGACTTCTGCTGTTCCCTGTTTTCTCCTGGACCTTTCTGGTCAGGAGAAATGGTGTTTCACTGGTGGGGGAGAAGTAGTCGGACGGAGACTGGAGAGCACAAGGGTGCAGAGATGAGCAATGTTTGGACATGAGTAAGTGAAATGTAGAAGATGTTCAGTGGGGTTATTCAGGCTCCATGACCTGGTTTCCACGAGGCCCTCCCCTCTCAAACCGGCCCCATTGCCTCCTACCAGCAGCAGACGACTCTTCGTCCTCATCTTCATCTTCATCAGTAGGCGAGGTCTGATACACTCTGGTGTCCACAAAAGGGGTGAAAGAGGCTTTGGTGCTACTTCCCATACCATACTGGAAAAGAAACGGCAAAGAGAGAGCTCAGAGCACTGAAATAACAATAATTTTGTGTAGGTGTGTGTATGTAAGACTGTCTAATTAGCAGGCCCAGTGCCCTTTTCGAGCCCTCTATGAACATTCGCTTCTCCTCTCCCATGACTACTCAGGAAACAGATTAAATTGGATTTGTGAGTGTCCGCGAGCAACAGAAAAGGAGCGGAGCAGGGCCCGGCTCTCTCTCGTCTCGCAGGCGGAAGCACAGCACAGCCA